AAATGCTTGACCTTGCCATACTTTAGATTTTTTGTTTAAAACAAAATTTTGGCTGTTTGATTTGTTAAGACTATTGTTAGGCAACCAGCGCCATACATGGAATTCTTCTCCCGAAACTTGTTGTACTTCTCTTCGAATTCTAAAATCATAGGTTTTTATTTAAAAAAGACTATCGATTTTTATATATTTTATATATTTAAAGGTACAAAAATTCGTTGTTAAACTCTTTTAACTTTTTAGTTATATCCACAAAAATATAAATTTACATAAATTACAAATATAACAGTTTGATAATAAAATTTTCAATGATTCATTAAATTTTTACCTGGATTCATTTTCGTCTAAAAATTTTACTGCTTTTTCCCAAAGTCCTGCCATTTTTTTTCGATCTTTTGGTGCTATAAGATTATCACGTACATGATTTATTGCAAGAAAACTTTCTTGCGTAGTGCCACCCGGTGATGCAACTGCCGCATTTTGATGATGCATTTCGACCATATTAATAATGTCACTAACAAGTTTAAACACTTCTCTTTCTATATTTTTCTTATATCTTATATACCAAACGAATAACTTCTGTATCCCTGTAGCTGCTAGAAGGCCTGAGAATATATCGCAATATTATTTATACATAATAGTAAATTGATATGATATGAAATTTCAAAACATACAATATATTTTCAGTCTAATGTTATCACACAACATGCATATTAAGCTCCGCGATATTGCATGCACAATAGAATTGGAAAACAAATATTATTAGTAACAAAAAGAAAATTTACTAATGTTACGTTAATTACAGCATTAAAGTACTAAATTTGTAACAAAATATAATATTTTAGAATATAACATTATGTTATTATAAAATTTTATGGAGTTATATTTTCAACAAGTTTCTTCCCATAATAAGTCGGTCAAAAATTTACCAAATGATACGATTAGAAGGGAAGAGAATATGGTGAAAAGTTTATTCTTGACGAGACATTGCATTGGCAACTCAGGATTCATAATCACCATTCCAACTTTCTCACTTAGACGAGTAGAAAATAACTTATCCTGTAACAAAGGGTGTCTTCTTCTTAATTTATTATTACATTAGAAAAAAGTGAAGATAAAGAAATAGAAAATAATCGATAAACTTTTTTACAATACCAAGGAATCTAAAACGTCGCCAGAATTTCCATTACCATCACTTATATCTATAAGAGAAATGCCCCATTTCGGATTCTTTATGACGAGTAATTGTGCGTTTTGCAAATCTTGTTTCACTTCTAGACTTGTCTGTAATATTATTATGCAATATAATATATAACATTTCATTTAAATTAATTCAACATACCACTTTGTTATTCGTAAACATTTGCATAATCTCTGAATCAGTCAAATAAGGGGTTTCACTGGAATTGTCGCATATCATGGACACAGCTTTTTTCGTTAAAATCGGTTGAAGTCGTTTCAATAATTGTAATACGGAATCTACGTTTTCTTTCATTACACAGCTAGCTCCAGGCGCTTCACGGTCATCTCCAACGAAACATAATGGTATGTTGCTATCTACAAATTGAAATACAAGACCAATAACAATTATCGAAAATTATAATATGTATATATTCTAAAATATTTTTTTTATTTTTGTAAATGAGATAGCTAATATATCTTATATATAAAAAGGAAAAAATCTTTCAAATAATCTAATTAAACGATAACGATGCAAAAAGAAATAGGATAAAATCATTATAATGGGAAAGGAAATAAAATATCAAAATTAATACATTAATAATACTTATTATTTTATTACATATGTTAAAAAAACAATACATATCTTAAACAGACTATTATGAAATTGATTATACATTATTCTATGTTAAAGATGGAATTTGTATGATTAAAATCCATAAATTATTAGAATTATCATGAAATTATGAATAAATTTTACAACAAACGAATGAAATGTATTTAAATAGAATTATGTGTATAGATTTCATTTTTAAAATTCGCAAATATAATATAAATTCATATATACTATTCTTTAAAACGTTAATGTTTATCTTATTCACATACATTAAAAATTTTTAATTAAGAATAAAAAAATTGCGTATATTGCAACGTACTTATTATTAATAATTTATTTAAGAAGCTTTCCCACAAGTTGTTAGTCAAAATATATAATTTGCATTGTAAATTTAAGTATTTTTCCATGTACATATATATATA